TCAGGAGTGCAAGGTACAGTTATAATTGGAAGGGTTGTGTTGACCTAACACTGTCCACATATATCGCGTTTAGTGGCTCAGATTGTAATTTCCTTTATGTAACTGCTGTAGTGATTTTGCTTGAGGATCTGGGTGTGGGTGTCGGTTGTTCTCTGTCTAGACCCACACGTGCACTCACATCCACACCCATACACCGACGCCCGCACCCAAGGCCCTCTTTGGTTTAGGTGTGGATATCATATATGCAGGGTGAGTCAAAAATATCTTTACGATAAAAAAATTTGAATATCTCTACTCTGCTTTAATCAATCGGACGGATTTTTTTTCTCGGTGACAGAGGACTCTTCAAAGCTTTTATTCATGAGGAAATCGTCAATAGATACTATTTTGAACTACCAGTACAATTGACTTCAATGAACAAATATACTATTAGCTAGAAGTATCTCATTCTATGATCTCAGTCATTCTTACGGCGGGAAGTCTGATATTTTGAGCACATATACTACCTTAGAAATGCAGATTAATGACACCAGCTCGGTCTTGATAATTTGAGTTAAAAAGAAGTTATGTTCTATGACGATCTCTCTCACTGTGAATCCTATCACTCACGAATTGAAGAAACTTATGACTCAGCCAACCGATAATTAAGTAGTCGTATAGTACTACCATCTACGCTATAAATTAAATCAGGTTTTATCTAGGCGGTCAAAAGCTGTGATTACTTTACATAATGATAGGTCGGTCGAGTCATAAAATTCTTTTCATTTCAAGTTATAGGGCTCATGCTCAGCAGATTTGTCGTAGATCATAACTTCTTTTCAGCTCAAACGATCGAGACCGAGCTACTGTCATTAATCTGCATTTCTAAGGTAGTATATGCGCTCAAATTTCAGACTTCTAGCCCTTAGAATGGTTGGGATCGCAGGATGAGATACTTCTAGCTAATAGTATATTTGTTCATTGAAGTCAATTGCGCTAGTTCAAAATAGTATCTATTGGCGGTTTCCTTATGAATAAAAATTTTGAAGAGTCCTCTATCATCGAGAAAAAAAAATAGTCTGATTCATTGAAGCAGAGTAGAGATATTCAAATTTTTTATCGTAAAGATATTTATGACTCACCCTGTATATATACTACGCTTCTAGTGTGACCTATTGTGCTGTGCAAAGAACATAATCCTTGTTATGAACTAGCTTTTTCTGTATCTGTTGTATATATTGCGCTTTTTACTCTATTAACATGAAAAAAGTAAACGAATACAAATAGTACGGAACTCTTAGATAGAAAAAGGTTGGAAATGTATACGAGCACTGACAATACTAAATTGTGAGGTGTTTTATGCCGACATAATAGAAGACTCCCAGGTCTTCTTATGTGTCGAGCATAAGCTATGCTATTTGCTATACAGTCCCTTCAGGATGCAGCTGAGTGTGGTGTGTAAAACTGACAATTCAATTTCTATTTATAAGACTATATTGTTACTTCATCGAAGGTAAAATATAGTTCCTAGAAAGAAAACTTGACTTGCTTCGAACTTCTTCCAGATCTACGCGCTTTCCAAGGAGATTTTTGTAAAAGTACATAGACCTTGTTTATTTTCGATGTCATTATGAATGTGTGAGTCCATCACTTGAAAGAGAGAGCGCTATATTGTCAGTTTAAATTGTGATAAAAATACTAGTATATGCATGCTGGCAGCTTTAATAGTAATCATGTACAGAAACAGAACTGCATTGGGAGTATAAATAAACAACGAATACATGCCATCGTTGCAAGGTAAAATATTACACATTGCTGATGAAAACTATATTTTCCAAGAAAAAAATTAGGAAAGAATGAACAAAATTGATGAGTAAGCACTGATTTAGTTGGAAATCACGAGTTGCAAAAATAAAAATCTTCATTCACATTAGCTGATAACAGGACGATTGCTTATGCATACATTTTGTTTGTTTTGTATTGATGTCTTGCTTGCAAGAATATATTTTTCACCATCGATTCATAATATTCATCTTTGGCATAATGGCACGTGTTCGTTATTTTTTCTGATCTCAATGTGATTCTGTTTCTTTTCATGACTATGATCAAAATTTCCAATATGTTTACTACTGTTTTTATCACAGTATGAACCGAGAATAAGCACTCTCTCTCCTAAGTGATTGACTTACGCATTCATAATGACATGAAAAATAAACGGCATTTATGTACTTATCCCAAAGCAATAGTATATCGAATAGCATGGCCTGCGCTCGAAACAGCCGTTCGTGTTTCTGTGCCCAACAAAGATGTACCCAGCAGAGATGGACGGGCCGCGGTGTCACACCGCCCTGTCCCGCCGGCGGGGTGGGGCGGGGCGGTGACGGTTTCATTGTTGGATAGGCGGGACGGTGGCGCTGCGAGACGGGGCGGTGTGACTTTTTGACTGCCCCGTTCATCTCTGGTACCCAGGCTCATGTAATATTTTGAATGCGTGTGCGAAGCAATTGAATATACGGACAATGACATGAAGTTTTAGCGTAACTCTCAAAATTGGACATCATTATCCTGCGATGAAATTCGTTTCTTGATCGTACTTTGTTACATTTTCAGTCTTGATGTATTTGATAACAAAGTCTTTTTCCAATTTGATGCCCTTTGTGACGACAGTTTTCAAAACAAATTTTATAAGATCAGTCAAGTTTCTCATCAATTATTAGCTGTGCGATTGATTATTGTGGCTGGTTACACACAACGAGTGAAAACTATTGTGACATATAAAATGAGTTGGAGGCGGGAATACTATTTCGGCCCAAGCCATCGTGTTGCATAACGATTCGGTCAAAGCGACTGATTGAGAACAACTTTATGATCGAGTTAATTACCAATTCCATTTCATTTTTTGTTGAACAAAATGTTCGTTGCTTTTGTTGACAAACAGAATCACAAAGAGAATCATGATTATCTGATTTGTTTTCGAGTATGGATATGCATACTGATTAATGAACAAATAAAACGAGAGTATGAGTGGAATGAAACTAATGGAGATGAACACTCTTATTGTCAATAGAAGCAAATTTCTTACCAAGTGCAGTTTAAATTTTTAGAAAAGTTCTTCAATACTGCTTTTCGGGTTGCTTTAGTCGACAACTAGCACTTTTTGGATTTACGCTTCTTGACTTGTATTCTGATTGGTGATTTATCAGATAATTCACTTAAAACCATAGAATATTCAGCTATACTTTTTTTTGTTCATGTTGGGGGAACTTTTTTCTTGAAGTTCTGCACATTTCTAATAGTAACAGTAATAAATAATACCTGATCGGAAGCAATTAAAGTCGTCAAAAAAATAGCTGCTATACAACTGAAAGTTCATCATTATAGCTATAGCTGCTTCATCTTAATTGGATGTAGGTTAACCACCATCATGACCAGTTATGTCATTTATTAATTCATAAAAGGAAGATCTTGATTCTTATTAGATGATTGTATTTTCAAATTGAATAAGAAATAAAAACAACAACTACGAAATATTAATCATGTACACTTAATGAATGTTCAGCAAAAGTTCCTATGAGTTTTAATAAGCAATGATCAAAATGATTAATGATCACGGTGACACAGCAGAGAGAGAAAAAATTGAAATAAATGAATTTCTCGAACACTTTTGTTTATAATCTTTGTTAGAATGTTAGTATTATTCCATACAATAAAGAACGTGTTTTGCTAGTCAGAATTCTCTAAAGCACTTTTCAACCTTTTTTCCTTTCGACCTTTCTATGGTTAACTTAAATGAAAATTAAATTAAGCCCATCGGCGCGGATATTGGTTGCAAGCAAAGTTTATATAAGTTTCTAAAGACATTTTAAATGTCTGATTATCCAGGATCTTAATAATAATTTTCGATTCATTATCATTAGATAGTTATGATTTATTTAAATACGATACAAAGTCTGTATCTATCACCATAGTACTGATTGCAAATCGTGTCGATATTGTTTTTTTTGTCACTACTACATAAGGCTTTCAAATATACCATCCGGTAAACTATTTAGACTTATTACTGGTATTAAATCATGGAAATTCAATGCTTTTCTTTAGCCTTGATTAATCTAAGAATAGTCTATTCATCACATTTCCAGAAAAACAAATTGATGTCTAATGGAATTTTATTTCATCTTAGCATCTTTTATAATACCATTAAGAGATGAACAAAATCTTAAGAAATAAACTCTAATCATCACTTATTATTAGAGAGCTGTAGCACGGATTCCCATCCTAGTAAAACTCTAGAAATGATTATATCATATATGAGTAAAAGATAATAATTGAGATAATACGTAGTCATTTGTGAGATTTAATTACTTCCGTCGAAGTCATTAAGACATCTATATTTATTATTCTGAAATGAATTTCCAACTTCAACAAAACAAAGATCATAGATCATTCGTTTGGTAGATTATTCAATAGAAGAATATTCTAGTTTTGTTTCACTTAAATGTAAATAAATGATCTATAAAATTATTCAAAGATGAATAAACTTTTTCTTAAATTTTTGATTACATATTGTTTACATCAGAGACCGCAAAAGTCAAGGGATTGACGGAGTATCCTCTTCCTGGATAATTGAAAACTGTTCGTTCACTTGCAAGATTTTCACAATTTATTTGTTTGTATTCTTGTGAGATATTTTCCAATAGTCCCTCTGCTCGATGTCCTAATCTTGTGCAGTTATTAGTTCAGATGTCGCGCATCTACAAAACTACAAAATAAATAGATCATTCGAAATCGAATTGATTCTCATTTGTATATGTAAATTATTACATAAATTATCTTGGGAAATAAGAATATATTTCTTAGAAAGTCATTACCAATAGTTCTATTGGTTTATTGATGAAACAAAGATGAAAAAGAAAACGGGGAAAATTTTTCTTCTTCTTCTTTTCTAGTTGTGTTCAGTTGTTTGATGACTCACCGTTTGCTGTCAAACTCATTGATTGATATTAAATTCAAAAATATATCAAATGACATTGATGCCAATTGTTAAAGTTGTTGATTTGTATGTGTAATCCGATTGTTTTTTTTATACATAAACGATTTTCTTTGTATAATATCTTAATAGATACCGTCATGAATTATTGAATAATGATTTTGGTATCGAATGGATAAATGATTTTAATGATGAAGTAAAAGGAATAATTACTGAAGAATCTTCTAATGATCAAGACTTGATAAATAATAATAGTCAAATAAATATAAAACATTCTCGTTCAATTATTCAAGTTCGATCCATAAATAATAATGCAACACGTCTTCCACCACATATTTGGAGATCACTTGCCAAGGTTTCAAAATGATGTTTAATGTATGATTAAATTGAATATAAAATTTCTTATTTAGATTGTACCTGGTGATATTGTAGTGGAATTAAATGGTGTAAACACAGCTGGACAAACAATTGTTGAATGTAATATAAATTAGATTATTTTTCCTTATGTAATTTTTCCTTCGGCACTTTTTTTTTAGTTGAAAAAAATTTAAAATTATCCGGTAATAGGATTCGTATTCGATTGAAATCAGGTATAAAAATTTACTTTTATTGAGTTTCTGTTTAGTTACATTAGCTAGATACTTATGTATTAACTTACATACTTAATAGATTAAATTCACAAAAAGAAAGAAAAAGAAAAGAAGTTGTTTGCTTGTTTTATTAGAATGTAGATAATTCTTTTTTTTTCTTTTTAATTATGAGATTAAAAGATCAGATTAGTATGCGTCTCAATTTATTTAATCTTATACAACTCTTATAGTTGTTACAAAAGAGAAAGCTAGCTACGATACTTATTCTTTTTTTTCCTTTTTAAAAATGTACATCTTCGGGCGTATGATTACAAAAGTGTTCAATTTCACTATTAACACCCACTTTCGAGGTTACTATTTGTTTTTCTATGTGTGTGAGTATTAATGGATATAATTGATTTTGTTCTTTTTTTCTTTTGTTCTTTGCACATAACATGCATATTTGTATGCTTGCGGGACTCTCTTGTCCATGCTGTGTTCCCTAACGCATAATAGGATAAAAGTCTTGAGGAATTAGAAGACGAAAGAAAGAGCGAGATAGCCGTGAATGTTTCTTTGTTTACTGCACATTGAAGAACAGTGGTTTTTTTCCGTGTACTTAAATATATTCTTATTCCATCTTTAATTCATTTTTATTTTGTATCTTCATGAACCATTTAATATTATATATATATACATCGATAGATAGATAGATAAGGACGAACACTTGGGAGTCATCCATGATCATAATAAAATTATTGTAATAGAATTTCTTTTATATTGAATTCGATAGCAAGAACGAAAATATTAACGATCTATTGTATACAAAAAACAAAAATACAGGTAAACAGAATAGTATCTAGTTAAAAATTTATGATTAGATAATGATATATGACACAACAGGCTAAGAACAAGAATGAAACAACTGACTTGTCCTTAGTTTTTCTTAACTATTTTTCAGAGTGCTGTTATTATTGACATTGACAGACGGCTATTGATGATTTACCATCGTAGAAACATCAAGTCGTAGTTAGATTTTTTTTCTGGAATGTAGACAAAAATAAGACAATATATTTGTGTTGTTTCTTTTTTATCTTCTCGTCAATGAGAACAACTTTTTTTTTCCTTAAGCTATTGCTTTACTCGAAATTACATTGCACATCTTTTCCCGAGATTGATTTTATCATATACATACATACATCTATTCATGATGACACTCAACAATATTTAGTTTGCATCCTGAATCTAATCCTTCATTCACAATAAGAACTGACAGTTTAGGAAAGAGAGAATGGTACTTTTTTCGATAAATAGACATAAAACATCTTGCTTCTCTATTTCTAATCGACTAAAGAAAGGTCAATCACTGTATCAATAAGTAGTTCTATGAACCTAACATTTTATAATAAATTATCAATAAGATTCTTCTGTTCTCTTTTTATATTTCTTATCTCGTATATTAGACTATAGTGGTGCGTACCCATCATCGACTCCTGTCAATTCAACTTGGCATTCACCTTCATCATATACATTATCAATAAATAAGAAAAATTCTTTAGATAATAACACTTATTTAACAAACGGACATTCAAATAATCCATATTCTTTAAATAATAAACCAATGACCAATGGTTATAGTACAACATCAACAAAAAGTCGTTCATTTGAAATTAATCTTGATTTATGTGGTGAAAAAATATCCGATGAGTTAACTATATCATCATCATCATTAATTGATTTACCTACATCATCAATAATAAGTCATGCTAATTATGATAATCTTCCTAGTGTTAATAATGAAAATGAAGTAAACTTAATAACACATCCAATTATAGGAAGATTATCTACACAAATACAATCATCTATATCAAGTGAAGTTGATCAAAAAATAAAAGATGAAATTGATGCACGACTTAAAGATATTGATGATGAATTTGATTTTAATTGTAAGAATTTATAATATAAGTTTTTCTTTTTTTTTTATTATTTTATCATTCTATTTTCTAGTACCAGTTATTGCAGAAACAGTTAATAAATCTGTTGATCTTCCATCAGCACGACGATTAGCTAAACGGCTGCATGCATTAGATGGTTTTAAGTCAACTGATGTTGTCAGACATTTATGTAAAAGGTATATAGATGAAGATTCTTTTTTGTTTCTTTTCAGAACGAAAAAAAAATGTCATCTGAGTCACTCTCGTATAGATTAAGGAAACCATCTATTCCCTAGAAAATATATTGCATCTTCGATAGATGTATATAAAACATTCTCCGATTTCTACAACATTTATAACCTTTTTTAATTAACAAACATGAAATGTAATAAGCACGATGAATTCTTCTTGTATTTACTTTTTACTATAGTGTAGTAAATTCAAATTTAAGTTTCATATTTATCTGCGTTACGTTTTATTGATAATACTATGATAAAGAATTATGATCTGTTACTATATGAGAACATCGAACATGAGTTAAAGTATGTGATAACATCTATCAATGTAACATCCAACAAACGCATGTCGACAACGAAGCAGAAAAAGCAAAGGTAACAAGCTCATTGTTATACTGTAGTTCATGCGATATGAAAACATATGATATAATACACACGTTGAAGTAACTAATTGAAGATAGTTATATATATAGTAGATTTTATTATGCAATGACCTACATTTATCTTGGATATTCTCTTATTTTTTGTATTGATTCCTTACATTGTCCATAAAAAAAATATTAAGTTCATTCACATAAGTAGAAGATTTGACCTTTAACTTATCTATTCCGTATGTATTCTGTCATATTTCTGTTCATAATCTTATGCACAGTCTAATCACCTTGAAGATGACGTCTGGTGTGACACATGTGTGTTTATCACTATCATTATATAAGCCTTATAATCTAAGTTATCTAAAGTCTAATATAGAACGTGCCAGATCGAATTCATTTGCTCCTTATAGTTCTATTACATACTAACTAACTTCAAACATATTTCATCGTGTACATGATAAGATAGTTTTATGTTTTATTCGTTATATATTCTTTTGTTGTAATGTAGATCTGTCAATATCCGATTTTTTTCTTATCATGATTACTAATAACAGGTAATTTCTTTTTAATGGACATGACAGGAAAGAACGCATTACATTAAAACATGGGGTGAGCCATAAATAGATGAAATATCTCAATGTTAGTTCCATTAAATGGACTGATTCTGTTTTTATTTTTGGTTAGTGGTAGAAATTTATTTAGCGTTTTATAGATAATTTTCAGTTGTCATCTAAGAAAATAAGAAGAGGAAATCAAAATGAACTTAATAAATAATACTATATTGATGCATATAGAGTAAATTTTCATAACTACGCAATTAAAAAGTCAACAATTACAAAATTTCGAATTTTCAAATATGAAAGACTGTTTCTTTGCCAAAAAAGTTAATGTCCATATTGTTGCAATAATGAGTTTTACTTTATGGAATACGAATTTCAATATTTAAACATACTATTCATTTATAAAACATGCTCTGTATACATCAATAAAGTTCATTCTGAGACTATCTGATCTCATTCGAACGAACTGAAGCCGAAATATTTCAACATTTAAACATAGTACTATTTATAGTCCACTTTGTACATGTCGGAATATATTTTCTTATACTAGCGTTCAGAATTGATCGTACATACAACAGTTGACCTTGTTTTCCTGATCTCTGAAAAGAAGTTCAACGTATTGAGCTGAGATTTTTGGCAAAGTATAGCTTATTTGCTCCAATTATTGTTTTTCTTTTCATCATAACCTTGATTTACAAGGAAAAAAACAACTAAAAACAATGTCCTTTAATTTTATATATAAAATTATACGCAAATTTCATAATAAAAATCTGTGCATTTTGTAATTACCAACAGAAGAAAAAGTATTTATTACGGTATTTCAATCAAGGTTTTCTTCATTTTACAGTTACAACATATTTTGTAATACATTTTCTTTTCGAAATGACAAAATGTTCGATTTTCTATCATGAAATTTGTGTATATTTTTGTATGAAATATAAAACTAATTTTGCGAAAAATCAAAGGATATTTTTTTTATATCTAGCACACGAAGTTCACGATGACACATGATGCAAATAAGCTATACTTTGTCAACAACCACATTTACATATATTGAACCTCTTTTAAGATATTCGACTGGTAATAGCTAGAAAAAAATTCTTTATCCTGATTGATAGATATAAAAACTACTTGAAACGAGAGTGTCTAGAAAATCAAGACATGTCCCAAAAAACCAGTTTTCTGACGTCTATTTGAAGTATTTTTGGAAATGTTTTTACTCGATAGAGCAAATAGTTCTGAGCAAAATGAGATGTTCCGGCTCTTTTCATGACGTTCCTTCCTCGAATTGCATTTAATTTATAGAACATCTCAAAGCGTGAGACATGGCGAAATTATGAAAATTTTTCATAAAGAGAAAAGAAAAGTGCTTTTTAGCTCTATGTAAATTAAATATAGCTCAATAAAAGATCGTCTTTGAGAGAGTCGAGACATCTCACTTTGTTCTATTAAATAGATGCTAGAAAACTGATGTTCAAGGTCTTGCTTTTCTAGATATCTTCATTCAAGCAACTCTGTTGGAGCTCTCAGATCTATAAATCCTGATAAAAAAAATCTTTTCAGATACTCAAATGCTTTTTCAGATTCTTTCTGGCCATTATCATCGAGAAGAAAACTCAAGAGTATAACAGTTTGCAAACTTTTACCTGTCATTGTACGATCAATTTTGAGCGCTACTGTACCATATGCAGCAAAATGATTAGATATTTTCCAAATAACTCAGCAAAGATAAATCATAGTCTTGAAACTTTTCTTCCAAAAGATCTGCCATGGAATTAAAAAAAGTAAAACTTTATCACAAGATTCTTCTGATTTGTTCTGATGGATTTTTAGCAAACTAAAATAAAACATATGAAATGTTGTTGTCTCATTATATTGGAGGTATAGAAGATGTTTGTGTTAATATATCTGTGTACAGAAAAATCATAAAAACTTGAATTTATTTTAAAAAGATGCATCATGAAATTTCCTACAATAGTTAAAATAAAATGCTCTTATTTCTCACTCTAACAATAAGGTAGCCACACTAGAAAACACAAGTCTACAATCTAAATCAAGTCGATTGTACAAAAACTCATTGCTCAATAGCTTAATATGGACAATAGGCTCCTCTTGATGTCTCGAAAATTGCCAGACAGAATTGAAAGTATGCCGAATGCGATTATTGTTTAGATACACAAATGAACTGAATTCCGATGAGTGAGAAGTTAGAGTATCTTATAGATCTTCCATTTTAGCTCTCTCTAAATCATTTATCAAAAATCGAAAAGATCTTTTACTTTAACAAATTGTAAAGAATTCGAAGTCGCATTTTTTGAGAAAAATAATTCATGATTTAATGCTTATCTTTGCAGAGATATTTTCAATATATCAAATATTAGAATCATTTTGTCTTTCTCGATTTATTTTATTGTATATATAAATTATATTGTAAAAACTTTTAATAAACTTGAATGTACAAATGAGAATTCCCATAATTGAACTGAGACACTGCTGGCTCACATAGACAATGTAATTATAAAGTTAAATCTATTGTGTGTGATAAAGCAAGGAAACATTTTGACATGAAATGAAAACAAAAGAAAGTTTTTATTTAGATTCTCTAATTGATTAGGTGGTAATATTCTTATCAACTTGTTTATATCTCAATTGAATTAAAAACAACATGCTTGCATGTCTATAAATAAGAAAGAAAGAAAAACTCGATAGAATTTTTATTGCATAATTTTCTTTCCGGAATAGATCTTCTGTTTTTCTCTTATTTTCTTATCTTTCTTTCTTAGTTTTTCTAAAATCTGCTTCTATCAAGTAACTACTGATTTTTTTCTTCTTCTGTTCTTGAATCTTCCGGCTAGACTATTTTCTCGTCGATTTCTTATTTTCTTTTTTTCTGTTGTAAGCGAGAGCGCATCATCACTATATATGCAAGACAATAGTTCTACGGAAAGTGGAGTGAGTAAGCAAGCAAACAAGCAATGGAATTTTCTTTTTGCATTGCTTCTAAATTGAACATTAGTGAGTGAAGTAGCAGTTGCAGAGTCGATTTTCGCTCCGTTCTGTTTCACAACCGCTTACCATCCCACGCGTTATGTGTGTCGATTAGCAGAAAGCATTGAAACGTCGAGAACGTGTTATTGGCCAAAAAAACGTTCATCATCTCCTTTCCGCAGGCAAGTCTAGTTGTATTCGTCAACACTACTGTTCGTACGAGCAGTTGAATCAAAGAATACATATCAACATGTATGCATCGTGGGAATATGTGTTTGTTCGATTGTTGCATTTGTACCAATGAACGAACGTATGTGAGTTTTATTTCTTTTTTTCCAGCTTTCATATTGTTATTAGATCAATTATGATAATAAAAAATAGAACTATACAAATACAGGATGGTTGAATATTATGTATAAAAATTTCTTAATTAAAATAATTATTTTTTTGCTTTTTAAATACTTGTCAATAATTCATTGTTTAGTTGTTTTATTTTATTTTAATCAATCAATAATGTATATGTTCGAATCGGAGAAAATTGCAGAAAAAAAAAGAGCTATTTAAAGTATTTTGCCTAGTTCATTTAGTTTACTAATAAATGGATTGATTTTTAACTCCGAAAGTAACAGGAAATCCAAATTAGAGACAATCATTGCTTTTTATTATGCTGAACGTTATTTTTGTTGTGGTTAGGGAAAAATACGGAAAAAAAAGAGAAAGATTGGTATTGTCATTTATCAATGTAACTGTCAGACATCGAATAGCAATAAAAGAAAAAAGAGTGATTAGAAATGAATATTTTTAGAATTTCCATCAAATACATAAGAATTCATTTCTGCAAATAAATTCATATGTCATGAACTTCTCTACGAAAGTAAAAAGTTTAACATTGCTTGTTGAACTAATACTAATTTGTATAAAAATGAAGATTTCCGTTTGTCAGATAATCATTCATGCAGTAGAAAAATATAAGAAAATTGTCTCTTTTACACATAAATATTTTAGTTAAAGATTATATTAAAACTCTTCAATTTAATTTTTATTGATGTTAATGGTTAAAAGTATTTGGTGAGCTGAAAAACAAACATGAAATATTTCATATATAGAGAAAACCTTTTTTTTAAATATATATAGTTATAAGAAAATCTTTGACAAATATTGACATAGTAATTATTATTTTAGGAATGATTTTAATCAATTGGTAGCTGAAGAATATGTGAAATTATTTAATTTTCAAGGTGATACACTTGATCGTGCATTAAGAAAATTTGTTAAACAATTTACTATTATTGGTGAAGCACAAGATCGTGAACGTGTTTTACATTTTTTTGCTGCACGATATCTTGATTGTAATCCAACAACATTTAGTTCAGTCGGTTAGTAGAATTTATTAGATATATATATATATCTAATAAATCATATTCATTTATTTAGACGCTTGTCATATGCTTACTTGTGCAATAATGTTGCTTAATACAGATCTCCATGATCGAGTAAGTAATTTATCAATAAAAAAAAATTCCTATCAAATATTCAAGGTCATGTCAATCGAAACCTTGTATAAACATGTTGATTTTCTCTTCTTTTTTGCTATTCTATAGCTTTAACTTTGATATCTATCATTGTTAAACAATAAAAAAAGAATCATATGTTATTGTAATTTTATATTAATGATCCATATTTGTTTATATGAATAGATGTTCATTGATATGCATCATTTAGAATTAGTCTATGTTATGATTTGTTTCTCTCTTTTTTTCTTCTCGTAGAAAATTACAAATAAAATGACATTTCAACAGTTCAGTGATAATTTACATGAATTAAATGATGGAAAAGATTTTTCAAAAGATTTACTTAAATCATTATATAATGCAATTAAAAACGAACAACTTATGAATGAAACGTAAATATAAATATTCTAATTATATTTATTAAATTACTATGTTAAGATAATTGTATGCAATATAGCTTTGAGCATTTTTTTTTTCTTATTCAATCATTTGATTGAAGAGTACTTTAAGAACAACATCATTGCTCGTTGTATCCTCATATCAATGTAGTACTTAGATGTCCTTATAATCATAGCCGTATGGAAACTACTAATTGCTAGTATCTATATTCTTCAATGTTTGAACTAATTGACATAAATGATGGATAAAAAAAATCGATCAAGAAAAAGAAAAGAAAATGACAAATATTGACTGTAAAAATCGATTTCAATGCTCTGTCGTATGAATACTATTACATCTATGTCAATTAGTCGTTTTTTTATTGTGAGAAAAAAAGGAAGATAGTGTGTATGACCTTCAGCAAAAAAAAACATTTCAATATAATAATTATTCAACATGGATCGGAAACTGATTTTTATGGTAGAATAGGAAGTGCATGTGTTCACATGTGTCACGCTCATTGCGAGGTCCATCTTCGTTCACGCGTAAAATATATTCTGTCATCTTCATTGAACAAACTGCTCGTTGCCGTTTTTTTTTTTCTTTGCTTGTAATTCTATTATTGAGCTACCCCTCCTGTATACATACTCATCATTAGCATGCAACATAATACAAAAAAAAATTGACGAAGCGAGCGTATAAGAGAAAAAGAAAATGTTTCACTTCTATGAATGACTAGTAAAAGGAAAAAAAATTTATATTGAACCGATGTGTCTCTATTCGTATTGACAATTGTTTATATTGAAAGACGAAGATCTTTTCTTTTTATCTTCTTTGTGTATCAGCTTGTCTACACATCATACACTCATTGGTAGGTAGTAGAAAGAATACAGACATCGATTAGTAATTATATATGGACAGACACAAATGACACATGCTCAAGATACATATACATATATATATATGTATCTATAACTTGTGTTTGACGATGTAAACTGGATAAGAACAAAAAAAAACAAATCACAGAGAAGTAAGCGAGTGTGACAACGCAGTCAGGTATAGATGACATTTAGCAAGAGAAAAAAGGACACATGATTATTTGACATTTTCTTGCAGAAAAAACTTCATATGACTAGTTGCATTAAGTTAGGATAACCAAGTGATAGATATTATTGAGAGAGATAAACTAAAAGGAAAAAAACAAATTCCGTTTACATATTTTATTGAGAAGAAAAGTTCGACGTGTTGTTATTTTATCATAGCTAATAAATATAACCAAAAAAAGAAACATATATATATATATCATTTTTCATAGAACTCTTGACGCAGACGATTATAATGATGTACGATTAGATGACCATGGAACATTACATGGTTATAGCAACATTGTTAATCCATTTTTAGAGGTAAGTTTATTGCTTTAATGGATCATAAATATTCATTCTCTTTTATTAGATTTCTGAAACAAATAAAAGTACCGAACACATGCAAGTAAGAATGATTCTCAAAGAAAGTTTGTTTTTTTAAATAAAAAAAAAATGACTTCTCTATCAAGGGTTATCTTATGCGTAAATGTTGTGTGGAGTCCGATGGAAAACGAAGTAAATACTAATCATTAAAATAATTCTTTATGATAATTTAGTTTGTTTTTCTTTAGCTCCATTTTTACGTCGCGGTTGGAAAGCCTATTATGCTAATTTACGTGATATGGTTCTTTATTTACATAAAAATGATCAACAACCAACTACAATATTAATTAGTGATACAAATGCTATACGTTTACATCATGCATTTGCTCAAGAAGCTACTGATTATCGTAAAAGACAACATGTTTTTCGTTTAAAAACATCTGATTGGGCAGAATATTTATTTCAAACAACTGATCATGATTTAATGATTAAATGGATTGATACAATTAATTTAGTAGCAGCATCATTTTCTTCTCCACCATTACCTGCAGCTATTGATTCTGTATCATTACATTTTCAACGACCACTTTTACCAAGTGTACAAACACGTTACTCAGTTGTAAGTAGAAACTGTCAGAGTTCAAAATTTTCGGACCTAAACTCGATAGGTTCTGCTTGAATGTCAAATTTTGTTTTTTGTACTTGTTTTGTTTTTTTTAAATTTAGTTTGAACAATATGAGTTTATTATTCATCAAATAAATGATATAACAAAACAATTAAATGACTTAAGAATTCAATCTTATGCAAATAATACAATTAATGGTGATACTAAACAAATAAAAGCTTGTGATAAGATTGAAAATAAAGATAAACTTGAATATCTTCAATATGAAGTAAAAAGAAATTTCTTTATTTCTAAAAAAAAAAAATATTTTATCTTCTTTTAGTTACAACGATATGAAGCTTATGCTGATAGATTACGAAGACATTTTGAACAATTACAATTAGATCATTCATCTCTTACTCTAAATATTAATGAAAATCAACAACATCATACTTTTATTGGACCTATTGAAGCATTATCAAGTGTAAATACTCCACAACAATCATCATCTGTTAGCTATAAAAAAAGTTCTCAATCAGCAAATATAGCATTAATTAATGCTAATCGTTATAGTTATATGATGGCTGTTAATACAAATCCTTTAACAATAAAAGAACGTCGATTATAATTTTGTTTTGTCTGATATGAAAAATAATTGCACACCTTTCGTAGCACGAGTGTTTTTTTTTACAGTGCGTTTTAGAACTGTTGTATATAAAGGTGTATGCACTTTTCGCTTTATTATTATTATTATTTTTTGTTTTTTGTGAACATGCTCAATTCTTTTTCTTGTGTCTTTTCTATTCACAATCTTCTTCACTAGTCTTTTTCTTGTTTGTTTCTCCTATTGCGTGTGTGTGTGTGTGTGTGTGTGCGTGTATGTTGCCTTTTTTCTTTGCCAAATCCCGGTGGTAGATTAGGAGAAAGGCAACTTTCGAGTTTTTCGCTCACAGAAATATTCAAAAATATACAGTTAGTGAATGGAGTTATAAAAATTGATTGATTTAAATTTAAATAATTGGTAACTAAACTTTTGAAAGAACTTTATTAGTCTAGGAAATATTGATCGATGTAGGTCGTTTTTTTATTGAGTTAAAATATAATTTATGCCATAATAATAATGACAAGAGAAATAATCAATCATAGAAGTAGTTAATCATAAACATATATATATTTGTACAAATAACTCAAGAAAGAAAATACTTAACGATCTGGAATTTTCTCCAAATAGAACTATAGAGAATATTGTCCGAGGACAACTCTAATGTATTAAATCATGGAATATTTTGTAATCAAATGTGGTTCTTTTATTCAATTTTTATCTCGAGAAAAATATTTTTCATGTTAATCATTTTTTGTTTACTTATTTTTACACAGTTCAATGCGATATGAAGCAGAGCATTTCTGTAGTCGATTGCGTACACATCCGACCTTCGTACTGGCGTATTTTTTGCCATAACAAAATTTTGTAATTAGAGAACCGTTAGTCGCCAGAAACTCGTTTAAACTTTGTCAGAGAGATCGATAACTCTAGATGATACAAAAGTTTTTGAATCTTCAATATAAGTTTTCGTTCATCTTTAATAGCTTCCGCAAAATGGCAATTTGGCCTCCATGTTTCACCCAAAATAATTCAAAGTCATAAACTAGTTTCCAGTCAACTGTTGTGAGCAGAAGAGAATCAACTCTGGGTGAAATCACTTGTCATTTTTATGCTTATTGAAATTTTCATGGTCAAAATTTGAGATAACTTTGCATCACATTTTTGTATTTCTTAGTGACTTTTCTTTTTTTTTTCGTTTACTAAATGTATGCATCTAAAGTGTTCATATTCTGTTACGATGATCTTGAGAATGGATAGTCGAAAAATACGCAAATCGATGATTTTTTACTGTCTTATTTAAGAAGGCATATAACTTGAATAGTTTTCCTACTTAAAAAAAAGATTCCTTACAAATCCATGCTCTGAAAGCAAATTCTGTCTTCTTCGAAGTATGAATAAGACTGTACGATAACGCCTATCTGTGATTGATGTATACATAGGAGACAGCTACAACAATTTTCCAATACGAAACATATATTCAAATAAATTATCTCGCTAACAATATATTAGATAATAAAAATTCGCTAGACATTATACGACAAAATTGTCTTACATGATTTTTCTTTTTGAAAATTTTCGGATTCGATCAAAAAAAAAAATATTCTTTTATTTTTCTACTCCGACTCAATGGAAAGCCACGATGAAAAGTAGTTATTATATTAAATCAAATAAATAGTTGAATAATTTTTGGAAGAATGATGAACAACGTGCTGCAATTATATTATCAACAAAACTAAACATATTAATGCATTGATCGGAATTTTTTTAGTAATTTATCAGTGACCATATGCTATAATCTGACGACGACAATATGATTTTAACTCATCTAGTTTTTGAGATATACATAAAAACTAGCTGAATTACTTAAATATCTACTGTATATAGTGATAGTTCAAACCGTGGTTTATTATTCTATAATATTTCAATATTCTTCCGTTGGTGTGATAATATACGAATTTTGATCAAAGTTGTTTACCTCTGATTTTGTCAGATATGGAAAACTCTCGCTTCCACAATAACCTGCAATGAAAAGTCTTTGCACAAGTGTCAAACTAGATTAGATCATATTGCTAACTTCTAAATCAATCAAATATTTTTTTGTTGAAAAGAGCAACAGCTGTACTACAAAGTTTGTACTAAACTCATTTTTCCGGAACGAATCTGCGAAGCAGAACAAGCTAAAAGTCTAACACCTCTAAAAAAAGGTCTTGGATTTTGAAAAGTTTCTATTTCTCAATTATGTTAAGCTACATGGATAGAATTATAACAAAAAAATACACCATCAAAATGTAGCACATCAAAGTTTGCACTGATATTAATTTTGGCGAACTTTTTTGATTCGTTCAGGAATCTTCAATCAAAAATAATTGGAAATTGAAACTTTTGTAAAATAGACTCTTTTACAAGAACGATCAATTGGAAAGAACATTAACCACAATCTTCAGAAACTATGTATGAACTGAATTCTTTATGCGGTATTTATTCAAAAGATATCAGATCCTAAAAACTTAGCAGAAAAGAAGAGTCAAAGAAAACTTTTTTTTATTGTTGTAAAACAATCAAGTAGCAAGAAAAAGTAAATTATGCAGTTTCATTCAGAAACACCTGTTTTTTCCTAAAAAAAACAAGACTAAATTTAACTTCTATTATATCATTGGAAAGAGCACATTTCAATTAAAGAAACTGAAATTCGAAAACCAATTATTGGTGAACGACCAAGATTTATTCAACAACTTAAACCTATTATTGTCGCTAGTCGGTGACATTTTACATTAACCGTTTGTACCAAACGTGAATCAAGACCTGATTTGAAATAGTAAGTGTAGTCAAATTTGGCAATCATTTTTGAATAATTATAGAATCTTAAATTGAAAAATGAACATTCAATTGTACAAAATAGTCATATTAAACTAAATATTGTGGATACTACAGTTAAATTGATAATTAATGAAAGCATACTAATGAATACGAGTACTTACAATTTGTCAGTTTATCCACATCGAAATTTCGTATAAATGAAAGTAGAATTTCTAAATGAATATTGAAAAATCTTGTTGATTCAAGCAAAACATAATTTGATGTTCATATTCAAAATGTCCTATAATCAGTTACAAAGTCTTATAATTGATAGCATACATATGTACAACGAGCTTCTATTCTATGGAATGCATCATTTATTGGAAAAAAAGTCGATCTAATGTACCAAGTGAACCACGAGAATTTTTAAAGTTATTAATCTAAAACGATCCACTTATCAATGACAATGGTTAATATCACCAAAAATAATGATAATGATGAAGCATCAATTCAATATATTATTATTGGAAGACGTAAGTGAAGTTAGCACCGGATTCGCTTATGGACTTGTGTTGAGTGCAGAATTTTATTCTCTATCGAACAGTATCATTTCCGACGGGGATCATCAGACAAAAAATAACCTTCACTCAATGACTCTCATCAAGAGAAGTACCAAACGATAGAGAATGAAATTCTGCACCCAACACAACCAATTAGAGACTCAACACAAGTCCATAAGCGAATCCGGGCTGGAGATATTCGAATCCAGTGCTAACTTTACCTGCGTTATTTTAAATAATATTTTTTGTACTCAATTTTTTTCTTTTCAAACCTGAACCAAGTAATAATTAATTCCGTATTTTAACAAGAGTTGATTTTATTTATAAAAGGAGAGAAAGCATATTTCAAATTGAATAAAAACATTAACATTTCTGCTGTGAGTTGTTTTCTTATTCAAATCAGACATCAAGCTTCGAATGATATTCGAACGAGAAATTTCATGGCTCTAAATTTCAGTTGAACAAACACTGTGCTTTCTTTAGAAAAATTGAAGATTTAATTGAGTCTTTCAGAAAAAAGTTGTTAAAAAAATCTGAGTCTTTGACGTTCAGACCAATTTTTTTCGAATGACGATTTGCTGATTTAAAGTACAACTACTAATACAAAAATATTATTTCAGTTTTCTTAATGATTTTCTTTATTGAAATGCCATCATCATCATGTGGTAAAACATCATATTTCGTTCTATAGATAGAATTTTATTGGAATCGATAGTTAATAATAGGAATAAAAGTGAATCGTCATGGTTGAACATCGTGAAGATCTCGATGAGAGTTGGATAATTCAAATAAACACCGACGAGTTCAACTAAATTTAGTTCATCAAAGGGAAATTTCAATTCAACTCATAGATTCTGAAACTTTTTGGTATATTCAGTTCAACTTAGTTCATTAATTCCAAGAAAATATTGCCAACTCATTTTTATTCAGTTTGCAAAATGAATTCGACTCAATCGATCATTTTTTTCATCGAATTATTCAACTCTATCATGTCAACATCAATATAAACTGTTCTCATATGGCATATCTATATTATCATATTCTATGTTTATAATAAATTTACAGGTGTAATCCAAGTGGCTGAGCCGTCGTCGCTGACAGAAAAAATTTACTAATATAAAAATCACTCCGCCGCCAATCAATGTGTTCGCTGATTCCTCTAAATATATGTTGATACGATGCGCCAATAGAATATTGTTCCTCTTCGGTATATATTAAACAATGTGAATATTGTTATTCTACAGTTGTACAAATATCCGTCTAACAATGCACGAACCATCAAATGCCATTCAACTTAAAGTTGATATTGAAGGCAAAATAAAATTTGATACTATTCTTAAACACAATATTAAGGGCAACAAAGTAAGTTAATCTCTTGGTGTTTGCTTCTTTTTATTTCTATATTCTTTATTAGATTGTCTACTCAAATTTTGTCGATTTACTACCCAAAGAACTTCGTGAAGATGATCCAAGTTTACAAAAACCATCTGAAGACGAATTAAAAGAGGTAAATCATATAATGATTATTAATTTATACTAATTTCTTTTATTTAGAAAACAGAAAAAACATGTCAAGCTCTCGTAGCTCTTGTATCATCTATAGTATCAGCTGCTATGCCCGTTCAACATGCAGAAAAGCATGCACCTGTTCAATACATTCGTTATACACCATCACAACCAGGACCTGCTTTTAATTCTGGTGCTAAACAACGTATCATTCAAATGGTTGAAGTTCAAAAAGATCCTATGGAACCACCTCGATTTAAGTGAGTAAAAAAAATTATATTTATCTTCTCTTCTCTATTGATTTCTATTTAATTTCATAGAATTAATAAGAAAATTCCTCGTGGACCTCCAAGTCCTCCAGTTCCAATTCTTCATTCACCGACACGAAAAGTTACTATAAAAGAACAACAAAATTGGAAGATTCCACCATGTATTTCCAACTGGAAGAATGCTAAAGTATGAATTGTTTATCTTAGTTAATTTATTTGACAATGAATAAATTCTTTTAGGGTTATACAATTCCACTTGATAAACGTTTAGCAGCCGATGGTCGTGGTCTTCAAAATACACATGTCAATGAAAATTTCGCTAAACTTGCTGAATCATTATACACAACTGATTTGAAGGTGAGATTTATCTTATGAATCGAAAAAAAAATATTTCCTTTTTTTTGTTTTTATTTTAGGCTCGTGAAGCAGTTGATATGCGTGCTAAAGTGGAAAAACAAATAGCTAAGAAACAAAAAGAAGAAAAAGAAGAACGATTACGTGAATTAGCTCTTCATGCTCGAATAGATCGAGCAGGTGTTCGTCTTGCTGGTAATTATTTATTTATCTATTTGAAATAAATGACTGTTCTTTCTTTCGATTAGATAAGAGTGATGATCAAACTGCTGAACGTGATCAAATACGACAAGAAAGACAAAAAGATCGACAACGTGCTGCTGCTCTTCAACGAGCTGGAGGCGATAAACGGTAAAAAACAAATAATCTAAAGTAAAATATTATTCTTTTTTTTTCTTGTTTTTATTTTAGAAAACGTCCAAAAGAACGTGATATCAGTGAACAAATTGCATTGGGTGTACAAACTGCAAGTAGTACAGGTGTTCAATATGATCAACGTCTATTTAATATGTCGGCGGTAAGAATTTATTTTTCATTTTCTTTCAATCATTAAACTGCTTTTTTCTATTTGTAGGGTTTTGGTAGTAGCTTGGGTGATGATGAAGCTTATAATGTATATGATCAACCATGGAATTCCTCAACTACTGTTGCTTCTCAAATTTATAAACCAACAAAAACAACCAAAGATAATTTTGATGATACTGAAGCCTTAATTAATGCTTCTAAACGGTTCGTTCTTTTTTCTTTAATTGTTGAAAGAGTTTTAATCTTATTTTATTATTTTAGATTCGAACAAGAACATGGTTTCAAAGGAGTTGATCGAGCAGCACCACGTGAGGGTCCTGTGCAATTTCAACGTGACGAAGATCCACTTGGTTTAAGTGATTTCTTAAAAGATGTACGACATGGTAGTGCTGGTAGTTCAGCTCCATCAGCTAGTGGATCTTTTAGTTCATCGTCTAAGCGTAGTAATGCAGATGATCGAGAAGAGCGAACTAGTGAAAAACGTCGCAAGAAATAAAATAGTTTTATTAATTTGTCGTAAAACGATTAAAATTTATATTTAACTTTTAAAAATTTGATTACAGCGCACGAATATTAAAAATAAATTGTTTTAAAAGATTTTAATAAAAAGTTATTTTTTTTACTAAGCGTACTGCAATGTGTAGAGCACTTTAGGTTTTGGTGGAATTAAAATTCTCGTTTGGACCTAGCTGCGAAGAATTTTAATGAAAGTCAAATATAGAATGTACTAGCTGAGTTTTTTCTTTTATTATTGATAAACTAATACCCATAATGTACGAGCAAGGATCGTCGATTTGGGCTGGACTAAGAACGATTTTAGTTAAAGACAAAACGAGTTTTTTTAAAGAGATTATATCATAATTTGTTGTGGTAATTTGATATTTGTTCCGTGTGAATGTGGTGTGGGCGGCTCGAGTTGTGTTCGTCAAGAGAAGACGCTCATTAACATTTATATTTCTAAGCCGTCTTTTTTAAAACATCATTTTTCGTATTTTTGACTTTTGTGTACAAATGCTTTTGCACCCCAATCAGTTATCTCCATTCAATGTTTGATTCCATTTTATAATCATAATTATATGGTCTGTTCAAAATCAGAAACACTGATGGCATTCATAGTCACAATTATGTCTGGAGAACTCCATAAATTGCAGTAATTAAAAAGAAAATAAGCACTATGGTAATTTAGCGCTCCCTACAAATTAGAGCTAGTTAAGTTGAAATAACGAAACTCAATCTTTAGCGAGCTCTATAAATTTCAGCAAGTTTAAAAATACAACTGAAAGTTTAAGTCGTATGAAAATTGTTGTCAGTAAGTTTTTTGAAATTTGAAAACCGAAAATTTGAGACCTAATATTATTTTCAATTTGAATAAATTAAATTTAAAAAACAAATGAAATTGAATTTAGCAGATTTTGAATTTCGATTTTATGTTCGCAAATGAGAGGATACGATTATTGTGTATGAATGGATCGTCAATCTGAAATCACAAATGAATGAATGAATGAAGAATGAATGAATTCTATTCAACTGCGAAGATTCTTTATTTAAACGAATATTTTCTTTCACGACGACGATTGTTCTTTCTCAATTATCAATATATGTTTTTCTTTGTTGATACTCAAGGAGATCGCCTGGCTTCGAAAGAAAAGCCGTGTATGTGGGTGTGGATGTAAACGTGAGTATACTGATTCTGTCAGTGCCCACACCCAGATCATTAATCCATTATTATGACACAGTGAAAGAATGAAGATCCATCTCCTAGTGTCAAATTTTTGAAAAAAATTTTGATTTTTCAAAGACCATCAAAGTAAAACATTGTAACGACAATGTTTTTATGAAGAAATACAGTTTCAAATTAGCGGCTTTGATCTAAAGGCTAGTCGTCGTCGAATGGCAATAAATTACACTAATGAATAAATAAATACTTGTCGGAGGTAGGAGATGTGAAGAAGTTTGTTTGTCTCCTTAGACAGAGTTTGTTTCTTCGTTTTGTTGACACTTTTTTTGGTGGGTTGTTATAGAAACGTGTTTGGTTTGTTACTATAGGATATCTTATCTTTCATTTCAAGAGTGCAAAAGATGTACGTTTGTATCAAATATCAACAACGAAAAGAATGCACTATCATCGAAAGAGAGAGAAGATTCGAAAAATCATAATAGAATGGATGTTGTTCTCATTGTTATTAAGCTTTTGTCCAACGTAGTAGTGGGTATGGACTGCCAGAGGCCACGTGTTTGAGATCGATAAGATTTGAAAAGTAAAAAAAAGACATTTCTTTCAGAGACATTTTTTAACGAGCGAAGAATGAATGATTGATTTTGAGAGTTTTACTTCCTTTTATCATTGATCGACTCGGTATTTTATATATGAATATTATACAATTAAAATGAATCTGGTGCATAAGAACCGAACAAGAAAATTTTAATTATGTGTAATGGATGAAACGGGTGGTAGATGATTGTAAGCGACAGACAAATACGCTGATTTTCACTTTTAAATAATCTTTATTAAATAAATATGTAGGCATGAAAAGTTCATGAGAACTTTATTCATTGATGATAAATAGATGGATGGATGTTGAAGAAAAGCTAATAAGAATTTGGGAAAAAATTAATAATTTTTCATGATCGATTGTTGAAGAAGGTGTTTTATTTTTCTTCGTTATTCGTTAATGAAAAATAGTGAGATTTAAATGTATAAATTTCAAAACAAAATATTCATGTTAATGAATATCTCATTGTATCAAAATCTAATAAACCAAAATTGTCTTGCTGCAAAACAGAAAACTATCGATCGAGATAAAAATATTTTTCTTTGAAATCTTATTCATAAATTGAAATCAATAAATATTAATCGTCGCAAGCATTATCTCGAGCTCTATTACTTTAGTCAAACTGAATAAAATCTTGTATGATTCTTACACGATCATATGAAAATCGTATATGATCGTATAAAAACCTATATGCCAATTTTAAAATCATCATTTCTGATAAAATCCTACTATACAATATTTCCATGATGTTAATATAAGATCTTATACAACAATTCATAGATATAATTTTCCAAGGTTTTCTGCAATATTCCATACTTGATTTTCTTCTTTTTTCGGCTTTTGATCATCTTGTTTTTTTTAAGAAAGTCTTTTTCTTTATTCGCTCGCATATATGCGTATATTACTTTAGAAAAAGATTACAAAAACTAAATGAAAATATCCATGTACGCTTAGAAAACATTTTTTGAAAAAATAGTTCTACTTGAATTCGATTGTTGAAATGAATTAAAATAATAACATAAACAATTTAAATAAAAGAAAAGCTTTTTCTATTTAATCAAATTCATTTAATTATCTGTACAATAATGATTTATACAAGTGAAGTCAAAAATTATGATCTTCTAAGATCGCATAAGATACTGATTATCAAGATTTACAAGAATCCTATGATAAGAATGATGTAAGTTTCACAAAAACATCTTATAATTAGATAACTATTAAATCTTACAATATGTGAACTATTAATTTGTATTACAGAACAAATATAATGGCTATGAACAATGCAGTAAATTTTATTATGTCGTGCTTTATACAATAGATTTAGTATGTTCAGAAAATTACATGGAAGAAGTGTTAGTATGTTTCTGTTGATCACTAATATCAATATGGCATCTTGTTACCTTTAAATCATCAATAATTCTATTATAGTATGTTTTATTTTTTGCAGGTTAATACCATTTGGAACTATTTCTTTTCTAAACGAAAAGATAAACTGAAACTGCTGAATATACCTTTGTAGTAGATGATTCGCCTTTCATGTTAACTTTCAATTGAAAAATCCATTGTCGATCAATCTAAAATGATGAAGTCAATTTATTATAACGAACATGTGACATGATGTAGAATTGAAGTCACTATATTTGAAGTTAAACATATGTAAGGACGATAAATATTCTTATTTAAGATGATACTTTTTCTTCGATGAATTTCTCCAGATCATGAAATTGTATTCGACATTCATAACAATATATATCCCATGTGATAAAAACCGGCAGCAACCCAGCAGTTTTACCGGTCCGGTTACCGGCTTCCACTGCTGCAATTAACCGCGGTTTACCGCTGAAAATGATCTGATTTTTGCGACATGGACATCATGTAATTCATTTGATATTGTCAAGAAATATAATACTAATAAACAAGAACAATTATCTACTAGGTCAAATCAACTTTCGATGATTATAATGTATGACTCATCTTCATCATTTCTACTATCCGCTCCATCTACTGAATATCTTACAATTAATGATATTTGACATGTCACTCAAGAAAACTCTTCATCTATTCATTTACAGTAAAAATCAATCTCATCACATGCATATAGACAACTGAAGACAAACGATTGAGAATCAATATCATCTAATGATGATGCACATTAATAAATACAGAACATGAAGAATCAACATCTAATTTTTGCTCATCAATAATTGTTATTTCTAAACCGTCACAGGTTACCTACGAAAGAAAAGATGAAAATTCATAATCGTACATTTACATTTCGACAACAAAAACGTTATTACTAACATGAAATTATACTTCGTGACATAGAGCGTGAATTTATTCTTCGGCGAGTCAAACAAATTCTTCGACAACTTCATGTTACATTTCATGCTGTAATTGTTTTAATATCAGCCATTACGAACAAAAGATGCTTATTTATTAGTGTTCGATGATGGAAGATCGAATAAAACTTGTCATCAAAAATACCCATTACAGCACTAACCTATAATTTATCTACTTATATATTTTTTTATGAATACTTAAAAGAACCCAAAAAAACCTAAATATCCCATTGCCATTTCATTTTTTATATAAAATATCTATATGATTATCATTTGTTTTTCTCTCGTTTTGATTTTTGTTTTTGACGTATATATTCATATATGCATTTTTTTCTTATTCTCTCTACGAACAGCTCGTTATGTCGTTATCGTTTCTCATGCATTATTGCTCTGATTTTCGTCAGTTTTATCGATCAATCTTTTTTATTGTTATTAACTAATACTATTTTATTTTTTTCATTCGGATTTACTTTTTGCTGTCGTTTTTTCTTTTTTGGTTATCGTCCATTTCTCTTGTCTTTCGAAAAATGTTGACATGACATATTTTTTGTCAATTAGGCAGTATGTTACAGTGATGTTGGTCTTGCAAACTATATATGTAAACATTTAGTAGATTTGGTTTTTATTCCATCTGAAATAAAGATTGCGTGCTATACAATACACATGTATGTGTACATAGAAAGAAAGAACGGGCGAAAAACCATAAGAAGGGACGTTTGATTGTGATTTTGAACATCATCGAATTTTCAACTCTTTGTACCATGACATTCCAGTTTTTACTTAGCAGGTGTTATAAAATCTCAAATCATAGCGATTTCGGTTTCTTAGTTAATCTCATTTTGAAGGATGATTAAGATAATCGATGCCAAACAAGCATTATTTACGACCAGAACAAATCCGTTGCATTTCACGTTCTCATTTCACAAATATTGCGTCAGAAGTGTTTTTTGATTAAGGTTTATCAATCTATGATCACTGTCCAAATGACAAATTCAACGACAGAAAAGATCACCAACAGAGACAAGCACTCCTATTGATAGAAAAGGTTGAATCATGTATGCTACAACTGTACATCTTGTTGAGTGTGTGATATGAATCGATATTGCCTCGTATGACTATGCCAAATTATACTACTCCTTAACGCATGTATCTGTTCCATCACGCCTGCAATAACATGCATTATGATTCTATCACTTATAGAATGACATCGTATGCAACACGCTGATATGTGATTGTAATTGAAGAATTAAGTAATACAATGAAATAAGATCATGTATTAGTATACTCTAGAATTCACACGATAGTATACGATCATTTACGACATTATGCACAAACTTTCATCGCTGTCATAATCGCTGCCATGGGATTCTGCTCAAACTTTCAGAATAGAATGAGTAAGAAGGCAAAGTGTAGCAAAAGAAGAAGATTGTGAGAATAATATTGAAATATCATATGTTGTTTATTTTGATAAGATGAGTATATAGAAAAAATGATTATATAGTTAGTAGCAATAGACATATATTAGAAAAAGTTTTCAGAAGCTGTCTAAGTTTAAATGAAGTCAATGAAAATGAGTAGAGATAACCACTTCTATATTCTTGGGAGATTCGATGTAAGTTGATCAGTTTAAATCTTACATTTACAACCCACAAATTTATTTTGCTTACATATGATGTACGTATGACGATGATCAGCAAAATAGCTCCACATACGTTTGAGGGTGTGTAGTGGTCCATACGCTTTCGGATCAATATCATTGACACCTACGACATACCAACCTGACCACTTACCACTACCGACTGGAAACCATTCTAATTTATATGCCACAATCTCACCACATTCTATGACCCAATCAATATTGGTGTCCAAACCAGCTTGAGCCCAGCGAGCGTCTGAATCTGGGTTTAGTGTAGCTGTTTGTGTACACAATGCCTGTGTTGACACATCAACCACTGTCAGTTGTGAGAGAACCGTTTGAATGGTTGATAGAGCAATAAAAATGATAATAACTTTCTGCATTGAAAAATTCAATAATAGAAACGTCCTTTGACTTTAAGTTAAAATAACCGAAGTGATTATTTTGATTGCTTGATTCTTGTTGAGTGGTAAAGTTGCTGATCGTCTTAGAAGTGCAATACTTGTATCTGCTGTTTATATACTAGTAGAAATCGAAGTAAACACGGAGAAATGTCGTTAAATAATCATTATTATTTGTTTATCACAATGTAATATTCACTAGTCAATATAGGGGTCCTCCCAAAGAATAACAGATTTTTTAAATCTATTGTATTGCTATTGCGATGCATTATTCACAAGTCAATATTATTATCGTATGAGAGAATAAGATGACTGCTTTGATACAGTCCATTGAATGCGCACTAGATTGTTTTCATACGACTTCCTCGGTGTATGGTATGTTGTTTTGATCATTATGAATCACTTCAAGAAAGCTAGAACTGATCATGTACGATCGAAAATTTTATATTTGGTTATAAAAAATCTAATCATGTGAAGCAAATCATTTTAAGCATATATAAACATTTAAAAACTTGATGGATGCTACTTGTCTGAGACAAAATGATCTGATTGCAAGCACCTAAAAAGGGTTTTTATTAATTTGACATATATTGTTAATTAATTATTTAGTATTGTTATTTGTACAATATCTCCTTGGTAGTATCAACTGGAATTTAACAAAGAAGACAGTTGAAATCGTTGGTCAGCTAAATTCCACGAAGAAGCAAAACGGTTAAATGTCGTTAATACCATCACATGTGTCCGTTCTGCTTGAGAATCGTTGATAAACGGCAAACAAAGCCATCAGCATTTTTTTGGTGTTTCAACAATTTGCTCAGCGTTTTCCAAGAGTGATTGATATTACATTATCGTGGAAACGTTTACCAAAGTCAATATCTTGGACATAAATAGTAGTAAATGTGTATAAATGTTTAAACAAATTTTAATCTATTGCAGCTAATTTTGATATAGAACACATTTGTTTTATTTAGACAAAGACTAAGATTGAAAAAATACATTTATAATTATGTGTTTTCATTTGAATATGAATTTTCGATCTTTTTGTTTAAAATTATCTTCAGAGATGATGTTTCATATGCATAATAAAATGATACTGTTCGATAAGCTACAATAGATTAAAATTTGTTTAAATTATAAATTGCTCATATTCGTTTATATAATATTACTACATTAGCAGATTTCATGAGCTTGGTTAAAAGAATACGTCTTACGTTAGATGATTATGGTGATGGTCATTTAGCTTATTATTATTAGTATAATTATTCAACAATATCATGTTATTATACATATGAAACATCATATCTGAAGATAATTTTAAACAAAAAGATCGAAAATTCATATTCAAATGAAAACACATAATTGTAAATGTATTTGTTCAATTTTAATCTTTATCTAAATAAAACAAATATGTTCTATATCAAAATTAGCTGCAATAGATTAAAATTTGTTTATATTATCAATTGCTCATATTCGTTTATAGTGTATAAGCATGATTTTTTTCAAACTGAAAATTGTTATAAATGCTCATACTAGGTTAATTCCATTCTTATTAGGACTAGTGTTCTGTTCATTATTTACAATCTTGTAAATTCGTGCTTTTTTCAGGGCCAGAGTACACGTGAAGTAAAGTCAAATCAATTAGACCTTTCATTTCCTTTTTTATCTGATGAATTATTTAAAAAAAATCGTTCTCTGTATTTTTATGCATATGAAAAAAGTAAGATTGCACGCATCGTTTATATGATATCAATTAGTCATACTAATGAGTATGTACGAAATTCGAACACCAAAAGAACACATACAATGAGTTTGTTTATTTTGGTTGTAAATGGTCACATTGGAATCCTAAGTTTCGAATTATGTTTGCAGACCTAATCATATGTTAATATGTAGACATTGTAATACTTCCAAATGTGGCCCCGCTGTATCGAAATTTTCTATTACCAATCGCTAATTTATCAGCATGGATGAATAATAAAGTCAGAATAGGAAAGGAAGAAAAAAAAGCTAGAAAAGGTAAGAAAGAAATAATAAATTCAGAAAGCATAGTCATTCATGCATTCATTGGATGAAGGTTATTCAATACCTTCACATTTCTAAATGGTCGACAAAGTTTCAGTCTCATATGAGGAGTGTGAAAACAGTTTAAAACAATGAGTAGGAAGAGAACTCGCAATCAATTCAGATCAATGCCTAATTTCATAAATGAGTAGTTTTCATTCTGTTTTTGAAGTGTAGCAATAGTTAATTTCCAGCAAGTCGAATTGTTTATCTAAATGAATGCAAAATCGTCCTTTCTTAAAATATAATATATCAGTCTAAGTATTCTGCACAAGTTTTCGAACTTCTGGAAAAATAAAATTTGAACATTGTAAAAGATATTCCTATTGATATATTATGTTTTCAATGAACGAATTTTCATTTTTAATACAAATATCTCGACTTGCCCGATATTGAATATCTCGAAAACAAAATGAAAACTATTCATTGATTTCATTAGATATCGACAAAAACTAAACGTTGTTAATGTTATAATCAAATTATCAAAAATAATGAGTTTAACCATGCACGCATCACTGTTTATAACATTTATAACGGGTGCCCCGTAATAAATGGCCGCACTTTGCATTGCATATTTTAATTTCAAAATACGTATTATTAAAAAAACAAACTATACCACGACATGCAGCGTGAAAAGCTCTACAATCTACAATGTAAAGCTTTTTTAATTGTTGTAGTGTATTGACAATAATTGTTATTATTGTTACATTGACTTCATTTCTTATCTGTATGTGTTTGTCTACTGATGAGTCATGATTTACATATATGTATAATTCTATACATATATTTATGTGTATTCTTTTCCTTTATGTTGTGATCATTCTAATTGCGTATATAACAATATTTCTATTGTTATATTTCTTTTGTTTCTTTTTCTATTTTTCATTCCATTTGTATGAGTTATCACAACATATAGATCTCTCTATATATATGCTTGTCTTTTCTTAAAAAGATGATAACTTTGTTCGTTTCGTTTTCATCTAACTTGCTAGTTATTTCTGTTCTTCAAGTCAATAAAACATCATTATTGACCTTGACCTTTATTGTATTACGCAATTGATAATACAATACATTTTCTGGCTTTTACGTATACCCTGAATACGTGACAATTGTGCACTTTTTGTTTACAAAAAAAGCAAAATTCAATAAAGTCTTTTTTATCTTGGCGAAAACATCATTTTTTTCTGCACGAACGAGAAATTTCTTTTTTCATCTTTGTATCATCTGATATGATTTCGTAAATAAAAATAAATTATACGGAAAGATGCAGCGTGAAAAGCTCTACAACCTACAAAGTAAAGCTTATTTTCAATTATGTAGTTTTTGTTTTCAAAAAACGCAAAATTCTGTGTGATCAATTTTGGCCGCTGCAAAAAAATTCATTTTTTTCTACACTAACAAGACACCCTTTTTTCTTATTTTATCTTTTTATCACCCAATATGCTTTCGTAAAAAAAACTATACCAAAAGATGCAGTGTGAAAAGCTCTACAATTTGCACACGGAGCAGTTTATTTTATACACGAAATACGAAAAAAGGAATTTCTCGTCCATGTTGAAAAAATGATGCTTTCACAACGGTGAAAATTGATCGTACATAGTTTTGAAAATAAAAAGTGCGCAATTAAAATAAGATCTACTTCCCAGATTATAGAGCTTTTCACGCTGCATCTCGTGGTATAGTTTGTTGTTTTAATAATACGTATTTTGAAATTAAAACATGCAATGCAAAGTGCGACCATTTATTATGGATCACCCGTTAATATAGCATTTAGATCTGTGACAGCGCAGATTTCTGAGACTGGTTTTTTTTCCCGAGAACTCGATTCAGTGACTAGCTCTTTTTTGAAGAATTCGGTTCAGCAGCAGAATTTTTTCAAATATACTTGCTCTATAAATAAGGGTGATCTAGCGATTCTATTCAGTACTTCCCCCACTTACCGAAAAAGAGCTGATTATCACATATATTTCTTTTAAAAAAATCTATTTATCATACCCAGTTCTTTTTAAAAGAATTGATCATCAGTTCCAGTTTCTTTCAAAAGGATTAGTCGCCACTTCGCGTTATTTTCAAAAGAACTAGTCACCACTCTCCATTCTTTTCAATACTATATATTTTCTTTTGTTTTCTGTCTTAGACAGAGGAGTATTTTCATTCATGTAATTAAGAATAAGATCTGACATATTTTTCTCTTCTAACATATATTTACATGTGTATGAGTATCTTATTATGCTCAATAATGAGAATGTTAAACGTCTTCTATTTCAAAAGTTAAAATTAACATTTGTGACTTTATAATTGCTTTGAGTGTTTGCGGCTTTGTACATATGAGAATCATCGTTCTCTAACCATCTAGTGTTTCTTCTCGCAATATAATTTAGTATTAATTAAAACATTAAAAATACCGAAAGGTTATGAACAGCTGCAACATGAAATCATCGAGCCGAGTCAAAACTGAACGAAAATTTGATTGCCAGACAAGTTTTAAACTTTATTCTAAAGAAGCACCAGAATGCTTTCATGCCCGAAAGGAGAAGATTGTCCTCATCGTAACATACCTTCAAACTTTGAGTTTCTACAGAATACCTTGACTCGTACGCCTATGCAATAAAAAGTTGGTCAAATATTGATTGAGCTACTCATTAATCAAGTTGAAAATTAATTGAAATTTTCATGTCGAAATCATAGACAATCATTTATAGATATAATTTCATATAAAAAACTTAAAATCCTGTAAAAACTGAAATTTTGAAGATATGTTACGATCAAGACACTGGTTCTGCTTAAAGGGATAATATTAGAAAGTATCTTGGAAATGTCATTGTTGAAAGTTTTTCGTTTCTTCACATAGACACTTCTGTTCATTCATTTCAAGATTGTAAGATATGAAATTTATTTTATATAGATGATTGTAATTGTTG